GTTAGTTCCGCCAGTCACTCCCATGTTAGTTCCGCCAGTCACTCCCATGTTAGTTCTGCCAGTCACTCCCATGTTAGTTCCGCAGTCACTCCCATGTTACTTCTGCCAGTCACTCCCATGTTAGTTCCGCCAGTCACTCCCATGTTAGTTCTGCCAGTCACTCCCATGTTAGTTCCGCCAGTCACTCCCATGTTAGTTCTGCCAGTCACTCCCATGTTAGTTCCGCCAGTCACTCCCATGTTAGTTCTGCCAGTCACTCCCATGTTAGTTCCGCCAGTCACTCCCATGTTAGTTCTGCCAGTCACTCCCATGTTAGTTCTGCCAGTCACTCCCATGTTAGTTCTGCCAGTCACTCCCATGTTAGTTCCGCCAGTCACTCCCATGTTAGTTCTGCCAGTCACTCCCATATTAGGTCTGCAATTCACTCCCATATTAGGGCATGTGCACTAAGTCAAAGTAAGCAAATATTCGAACAATCGAAATCTCCGTTATCCGAACATGCTTGTTTGAGCATTTCGCTGCTGGCGTGAAATGCGTGAAAAAAGGGCAAGCACAAAGAGAATCTTAGACAGGTCTACATTCAAATGATTGTAGACCTGTACCACGACTCTTAGACAGGTCTACATTCAAATGATTGTAGACCTGTACCACGACTCTTATACAGGTCTACATTCAAATGATTGTAGACCTGTACCACGACTCTTATACAGGTCTACATTCAAATGATTGTAGACCTGTACCACGACTCTTATACAGGTCTACGTCGCACCACGCCATTCTCTTCAGCGTCGAATGCGACGCACATCAACCAAAAAGAGTTACCAGGATTCGTGTCCGCAAATAGAAATCATTCCCTCCTGGCGGGAAGCTCAGTTGCAGACGCCGCAACGTCGCTGAATTATTTGACAGCGACGCATTTGCGCAGTTTCGAATTCGTGATGTTGTGCTTTGTTCGAACTGTAGATCTTTAGAAAAGAATCCAAAATGCGCACGGCAAAGTTACCTGCAAAATTCTAACGTTTTTTAACTTTAGTGCACACGCCCTTAGGTCTGCAATTCACTCCCATATTAGGTTTGCCAATCACTCCCATATCAATTCTGCCAGTCACTCGCCTACCCCTGCCACTCCACCCCTCCCCTTGTCATGCAACACCATGCCCATCCTAGGCATGACCGAAATCCAAACACAAACATTTTCGGTTTGCCCCGAACTTACTCCTGAACTTATTTCCACAGCAAAGTCGAACACTCGATAGCATGTTCGCCCAGAACCTGAACATTTGCATGTTCGCCCCGAACCTGAACATTTGCATGTTCGCCCCGAACCTGAACATTTGCATGTTCGCCCCGAACCTGAACATTTGCATGTTCGCCCCGAACCTGAACATTTGCATGTTCGCCCCGAACCTGAACATTTGCGTGTTCGCCCCGAACCTGAACATTTGCATGTTTGCGTTGAGCATGTTCTTGTTAGGTTCGACTTGTACTTTCATTACAGTCACGCAGCATTCCCCTGTAAAAATCACGTGGGTTTTCTGGCAAAATGGGCATTGACATGTCATTAATTGAGTGACATTGTCTCCTTCGTCCATGCCAACTGCTCCATCCATGCCAGGACGTGCGCGGATCTCACAACGAAATGCCAGACCCACCTTTTGAGACGTCTCAGAGGTCGAAAATGCCAGATTCGCACGGCAAGCCGGTACTCATCAGAGGAGAGATAGAGGAGTTAACGGGCCCTTCTCCCGCTCACACCTTATCGCGTCCATCCCAGCCCTTCCCCACACTGCCAGGGTGAGGCTCAGTGATGACCTGATCAGCGGCGTTTGGGTGGACCCAGAAGGCAGCTTCTCCTCATGTCTTACCGCACCTGCCCAGCACTTTTCCGCCCTTTTCGGCCCTTTTCTGCCCGGCCAGGTGGAGGGCTTTGTGATAATCGGTGTGAGCAAGAGGGCGCTTTGCTCCTGGCTGGCTGCTGCCCTTGACAAGGTGGGGTGCGGTGTGACGCGGTGTGGACAAGGTGGTACGCGGCACGGTTTTTGTTTGAATGTGGTGTGAAGTGCATTACCATGGGGTACGGTGTGGTGTGCTGCTGCAGTATTATGTGGCAGTAAATGTTCTCCATAAAATTCCATGTACAAATGTATTGTCTTACGGGGCTGTCCCCTACACGTGCATCCAGGCCTGCGTGCATCCATCCATCCATGCATACATCACTTCGCCACCTGCATGCACACAAGGTGCCAGGAGGGTGTCAACGACTCGCCATTTCTTCCGCGCGGACCCATCCTTGCACATTATTTGCTCAACCCCGTCCCTTGATGCTGTCTGGAGAATCCGTCTTCTCACTCATCCTCTTCCATCCTCCGGCATTGTTAGGGTAGCAACTGGGCAACTGGCGGAGGTCCGTCTTTCATATCGTACAGCCGTCCCCTCTCCACCTTGCCCTTCCCTCCCCCCTTGGACGGCAGAGGGTGGTGGGCATCATATCGTACGGCTACGATTTCTTCAGCATGGTGGTCAGCTACCGCCACATGTTCCGCTCCTCTCCCCTCCCCTATTCCTGTTCCCCTCCCCCCGTCCCCCTCTCTCCTCTCGCCCATCACAGAGGGTGGTGGGGGTCATATCGTACGGCTACGATTTCTTCAGCATGGTGGTCAGCTACCGCCACATGTTCCGCTCCTCTCCCCTCCCCTATTCCTGTTCCCCTCCCCCCGTCCCCCTCTCTCCTCTCGCCCATCACAGAGGGTGGTGGGGGTCATATCGTACGGCTACGATTTCTTCAGCATGGTGGTCAGCTACCGCCACATGTTCCGCTCCTCTCCCCTCCCCTATTCCTGTTCCCCTCCCCCCGTCCCCCTCTCTCCTCTCGCCCATCACAGAGGGTGGTGGGCATCATATCGTACGGCTACGATTTCTTCAGCATGGTGGTCAGCTACCGCCACATGTTCCGCTCCTCTCCCCTCCCCTATTCCTGTTCCCCTCCCCCCGTCCCCCTCTCTCCTCTCGCCCATCACAGAGGGTGGTGGGGGTCATATCGTACGGCTACGATTTCTTCAGCATGGTGGTCAGCTACCGCCACATGTTCCGCTCCTCTCCCCTCCCCTATTCCTGTTCCCCTCCCCCCGTCCCCCTCTCTCCTCTCGCCCATCACAGAGGGTGGTGGGGGTCATATCGTACGGCTACGATTTCTTCAGCATGGTGGTCAGCTACCGCCACATGTTCCGCTCCTCTCCCCTCCCCTATTCCTGATCCCCTCCCCCCGTCCCCCTCTCTCCTCTCGCCCATCACAGAGGGTGGTGGGCATCATATCGTACGGCTACGATTTCTTCAGCATGGTGGTCAGCTGCTGCCACATGTTCCGCTCCTCTCCCCTCCCCTATTCCTGTTCCCCTCCCCCCGTCCCCCTCTCTCCTCTCGCCCATCACAGAGGGTGGTGGGCATCATATCGTACGGCTACGATTTCTTCAGCATGGTGGTCAGCTACCGCCACATGTTCCGCTCCTCTCCCCTCCCCTATTCCTGTTCCCCTCCCCCCGTCCCCCTCTCTCCTCTCGCCCATCACAGAGGGTGGTGGGATCATATCGTACGGCTACAATTTCTTCAGCATGGTGGTCAGCTACCGCCACATGTTCCGCTCCTCTCCCCTCCCCTATTCCTGTTCCCCTCCCCCCGTCCCCCTCTCTCCTCTCGCCCATCACAGAGGGTGGTGGGGATCATATCGTACGGCTACAATTTCTTCAGCATGGTGGTCAGCTACCGCCACATGTTCCGCTCCTCTCCCCGCCCCTATTCTTGTTCCCCTCCCCCCGTCCCCCTCTCTCCTCTCGCCCATCACAGAGGGTGGTGGGGATCATATCGTACGGCTACGATTTCTTCAGCATGGTGGCCAGCTACCGCCACATGTTCCGCTCCTCTCCCCTCCCCTATTCCTGTTCCCCTCCCCCCGTCCCCCTCTCTCCTCTCGCCCATCACAGAGGGTGGTGGGCATCATATCGTACGGCTACGATTTCTTCAGCATGGTGGCCAGCTATCGCCACATGTTCCGCTCGCTGGGCGGCTGGCCCATTCTGCTGCGCTTCCACGTGGAGTACAACATCACGCACAAGCTGCTCGAGCCACAATTCAACAAATTCACGGTACGCCTGTGAACTTTTAGTCGACTCACAAGCCATTCTGCTGCGCTTCCACGTGGCATAGAACGTACAGTCGCAATGAATTCCAGCTGCAGCTCAATCAGCTCAGCTGCAGTTCAATCATCTCAGCTGCAGTTCAATCATCTCAGCTGCAGTTCAATCATCTCAGCTGCAGTTCAATCATCTCAGCTGCAGTTCAATCATCTCAGCTGCAGTTCAATCAGCTCAGCTCGTTGAGAGAGTCATGTCATACCCACACACGTGCTGTCCCATGCATGCATGGAAGAATCTCCACACCACAGCGTGCGCAAGCATGTGCTGTGCTACAGCCTACAGCTACCGTCGCCGTCTCACCATGCGTTTTCACTCCACTCAACAGCTGCTGCCCGACCTGTACCTGCCCGACCTGTACCTGCCCGACCTGTACCTGCCCGACCTGTACCTGCCCGACCTGTACCTGCCCGACCTGTACCTGCCCGACCTGTACCTGCCCGACCTGTACCTGCCCGACCTGTACGTGCCCGCCTTTCCCCGTCTTCCCGTGCGTACAAGAGCTCATGGATGGACGCATACAGCTACTGCAAGCCCCTCAAAAGTTGCCGGCTGGGCTGTACCTACCCCCTCTCCATCCCCCCTCCATCCCCCCTCCATCCCACCCGCGCCTACAGGAGCTGGTGGACGCGTATAGCTACCGCGAGCGCCTCACCATGCCTCATGAGTCGACTCAAAAGCTGCTGGCTGACCAGTACCTACCCCCTCCCCCGCTCCCCCCGTCCCCCCTTGCCTCCCACATCCACAGGAGCTGGTGGACGCGTACAGCTACCGCGAGCGCCTCACCATGCCTCTTGAGTCGACTCAAAAGAGATGCCAGCCGGCCTGTTCCTTCTCCTCCCCCTTCCCCCTTCTCCTCTCCCGTGCGCACAGGAGCTGGTGGACGCGTATAGCTACCGCGAGCGCCTCACCATGCCCAAGCTCATCGTCTCCGCTGCCAACGATGAGTTCTTCGCCCTCGATGACAGGTGGGGTGCGGTGATGACAGGTGGGGTGCGGTGATGACAGGTGGGGTGCGGTGATGACAGGTGGGTGCGGTGATGACAGGTGGGGTGCGGTGATGACAGGTGGGGGCCGCGATGACAGGTGGGTGCGGTGATGACAGGTGGGTGCCGCGATGACAGGTGGGTGCCGCGATGACAGGTGGGTGAGAGGCAGGCATTGCCTCCGTGACAGGGGGGTGTGCCAGCTGTGTTGGTGTTTCCTTGAGGATTCTCAAACGTGACTGACAAATCGGCCGTGGACGACAGGTGGGCCGTGGACGACAGGTGGGCCGTGGACCACAGGTGGGCCGTGGACCACAGGTGGGCGGGTGCTTTGCCATATGTGACAGGTGGATGACACGTAGGGGGAGGCAACAGAGGGTGGGAGTCGTGACGCTGAGGGTTGTGGTGTGTGAGTGAGTGCATTCTACGACCACCAGACCTTGTTCATTGGGAATGCACCTCGTCCCACCTCATACTCCCCTCTCCGCCCCGCATCCCCCCCGCCCTGTGCACGGCGGGGCAGCTACAACTACTGGGAGGGGCTGCCGGAGCCCAAGTTCCTCAACCTCGCCTTGCTCATTGGGAATGCACTAGCTCCCGCTCGGCCCCTCATCCCTCTCCTCATCCCCCCCTGTATCCCCCCCGGCAGCTACAACTACTGGGAGGGGCTGCCGGAGCCCAAGTTCCTGAAGCTGCTGCCCAACATCGACCACATGGTGCTGCACTTCTCGCAGTGGGTGAGTTGCCTGCCTTGCTGCCTTGGCTTTAGTTCAAGGCGCCTCAATCTCATTGCAAGTTCCTCAAGCTGCTGCCCAACATCGACCACATGGTGCTGCACTTCTCGCAGTGGGTGAGTTGCCTGCCTTGCTGCCTTGGCTTTAGTTCAAGGCGCCTCAATCTCATTGCAAGTTCCTCAAGCTGCTGCCCAACATCGACCACATGGTGCTGCACTTCTCGCAGTGGGTGAGTTGCCTGCCTTGCTGCCTTGGCTTTAGTTCAAGGCGCCTCAATCTCATTGCAAGTTCCTCAAGCTGCTGCCCAACATCGACCACATGGTGCTGCACTTCTCGCAGTGGGTGAGTTGCCTGCCTTGCTGCCTTGGCTTTAGTTCAAGGCGCCTCTCTCTCACACCCTCACCTGCTTGCCTGCTAGCCGAACTGTTTTAACTGTGGCGATCGTGTTGGGTTCCTGCACATGCTCTCCCCACTGTCCGTTTGTCAGAAAGGAGTTGCTGTTTCGAACCGCAGCAAGCCTAATGGTCGCCTCCAGAGTTTGAACCAGCCAGCTGAGCCACTTCAGGATAGCCGTGTTGGGATCGTGCGCGTGCCTTCCTGACCAATCGTCACCTCTGCTTCTTGACTGGGCCACTCACATGTTTTCCAGCCGACTCTTGCGTTGCCCATGCAGTCAATTCCATCCAAATGCCATCGTCTTCCTTCCTTTCACCATCCGCTCCCTCCCTCGCACCGCCCTTGCCTCGCTCTCCCCCTTCAGGGCTACGATGCTTGATGCCCTTCTCCCTCACCTTTGTATTGCACTGTCATCCCCGTACTCACGCCTACCCTCTCCCCTCCTCAATCCCTCCTTCAGGGCTACGACGCCTGCATGTCCTTCTTCCTCGCTCTGCTCCACGACACCTCCTCCTGCGCTGCCCTGCCCGCCTCCCACCGCCCCTCCCTCACCTGGCTTCCCCCCAACGCCTCCTCCCCCTCCTCCTCTCACCAACCCTCATCTTCACCCCCCTCCTCATCCAATCCTGCCGACACCAGCAGCACCAGCAGCAGTAGCAGCAGCATTGGGAGGGCTGGGCTGTTCTCACTGGCGTTGGGGGGCCGCGCTGCTGCCCCTCCGCTGCTGCTGCCGTGGTCCTTCTCCCCTCTGCTCACCCACGTGCTCTGGCCCAAGCTCACGTGGCGCTTTGATTGGCCCTCCTACACCATCCATGCCACGTCAGAGGCCAAACCTGCGGCTGTGCACGCTTGGTGAGGGAATGGTGGTGGGAGCATGGTGGACATCGTTCTATTCGCTCTCACCGCTCTGACCACATTGACCCGTCTGACCACATTGACCCGTCTGACCACATTGACCCGTCTGACCTCATTGACCCGTCTGACCACATTGACCCGTCTGACCACATTGACCCGTCTGACCACATTGACCCATCTGACCTCATTGACCCGTCTGACCACATTGACCCATCTGACCTCATTGACCCGTCTGACCACATTGACCCATCTGACCTCATTGACCCGTCTGACCACATTGACCCGTCTGACCACATTGACCCATCTGACCTCATTGACCCGTCTGACCACATTGACCCATCTGACCTCATTGACCCGTCTGACCACATTGACCCATCTGACCTCATTGACCCGTCTGACCTCATTGACCCGTCTGACCACATTGACCCGTCTGACCTCATTGACCCGTCTGACCTCATTGATCCACTCCCAACCAAAATCTCCCTCTCTCCCCCATATACTCTCCCCTCCCCTCCCGTCGCCCCACCCTCCTACTTGTGTCGTGCTGGCAGGACTGGGAAGACCTTCGTGGGCAGCAAACGCCGCGACTTCCGGTTCATTCTGCACCAAGGCAGGACGGGATGGTGAGCGGTGGGATGGGATGGTGAGCGGTGGGATGGGATGGTGAGCGGTGGGATGGGATGGAGAGAGGCAGGACGGGATGGTGAGCGGTGGGATGGGATGGTGAGCGGTGGGATGGGATGGAGAGAGGCAGGATGGGATGGAGCGGTGGGATGGGATGGTGAGAGGCGGGATGGGAGGGTAAAAGGCGGGATGGGATGGTGAGAGGCGGGATGGGAGGGTAAAAGGCGGGATGGGATGGTGAGAGGCGGGCTGGGAGGGTAAAAGGCGGGATGGGATGGTGAGAGGCGGGATGGGAGGGTAAAAGGCGGGATGGGAGGATGAGAGGCGGGATGGGAGGGTAAAAGGCGGGATGGGAGGGTGAGAGGCGGGATCTGAGGGTGAGAGGCGGGATGGGAGGGTGAGAGGCGGGATGGGAGGGTGAGAGGCGGGATCTGAGGGTGAGAGGCGGGATGGGAGGGTGAGAGGCGGGATGGGAGGGTGAGAGGCGGGATGGGATGGTGAGAGGCGGGATGGGATGGTGAGAGGCGGGATGGGATGGTGAGAGGCGGGATGGGAGGGTGAGAGGCGGGATGGGATGGTGAGAGGCGGGATGGGAGGGTGAGAGGCGGGATGGGATGGTGAGAGGCGGGATGGGATGGTGAGAGGCGGGATGGGATGGTGAGAGGCGGGATGGGAGGGTGAGAGGCGGGATGGGAGGGTGAGAGGCGGGATGGGATGGTGAGAGGCGGGATGGGATGGTGAGAGGCGGGATGGGATGGTGAGAGGCGGGATGGGATGGTGAGAGGCGGGATGGGAGGGTGAGAGGCGGGATGGGATGGTGAGAGGCGGGATGGGATGGTGAGAGGCGGGATGGGATGGTGAGAGGCGGGATGGGATGGTGAGAGGCGGGATGGGATGGTGAGAGGCGGGATGGGAGGGTGAGAGGCGGGATGGGAGGGTGAGAGGCGGGATGGGATGGTGAGAGGCGGGATGGGATGGTGAGAGGCGGGATGGGATGGTGAGAGGCGGGATGGGATGGTGAGAGGCGGGATGGGATGGTGAGAGGCGGGATGGGAGGGTGAGAGGCGGGATGGGATGGTGAGAGGCGGGATGGGAGGGTGAGAGGCGGGATGGGAGGGTGAGAGGCGGGATGGGAGGGTGAGAGGCGGGATGGGATGGTGAGAGGCGGGATGGGATGGTGAGAGGCGGGATGGGAGGGTGAGAGGCGGGATGGGAGGGTGAGAGGCGGGATGGGATGGTGAGAGGCGGGATGGGAGGGTGAGAGGCGGGATGGGAGGGTGAGAGGCGGGATGGGAGGGTGAGAGGCGGGATGGGAGGGTGAGAGGCGGGATGGGATGGTGAGAGGCGGGATGGGAGGGTGAGAGGCGGGATGGGAGGGTGAGAGGTGGGATGGGAGGGTGAGAGGCGGGATGGGATGGTGAGAGGCGGGATGGGAGGGTGAGAGGCGGGATGGGAGGGTGAGAGGCGGGATGGGAGGGTGAGAGGCGGGATGGGAGGGTGAGAGGCGGGATGGGAGGGTGAGAGGCGGGATGGGATGGTGAGAGGCGGGATGGGATGGTGAGAGGCGGGATGGGATGGCAGAAGGTGGCACAAAACAGCTTGAGTGGCATGTCCGGTTGATCTGTCACGTGTTCACCAGCTTCTGACTCCAAACCGACCCCACTTCCCACCATGTGGATGTTGCTGTGTGTGATGCGTGCCTCCTCCCTGCCTTGCTGTGCCCCTGTACATTCTTTTTCCTGTATTGTTCTGCGCTGTATGCGCTGTGTACCTTTCCTGTCTACACATCTGAATGCACATGTGATTGTAAGTCATGTGACTGTTGAGCACGTTCTTGCATATCATGTGCCTAAATGGCACTCAACTTATTCCATGTCTTTTCTGCCATGCGATTGGCATTTGACTGTGCGCCATATGACTGTATGCCATGTGACTGCATGTCATTTGACTGTACGCATGCACCATGTGACCGTGCGCCATATGACTGTGCGCCATGTGACTGTACGCCATGTGAATTAATGTCATGTAATTGTACGGCAGTGTGCTGCCCTTCCAGGGCCCGGCGGGAAGCTACGTGAGCAGGCTGGGCAAGCTGTGTGTGCAGCCCATCCCGTTCTTTGCTGATAAAGTCACGCCCCCTACAAGGAAGGACGATGGCAAGTGGCATTTCAGCGCCACCGTCAACGACATTCCCAAGGTGAGGCGTTGATCGTCCTGTGAGTAAGGCATTCCCAAGGTGAGGCATTGATCGTCCTGTAAGGCATTCCCAAGGTGAGGCATTGATCATCCTGCCGTTGCTAACCGATGTTCCTAGGGGGCGGTTCCCTCCTGTGAGTAAGGTATCCCCAAGGGGAAGGTTCTATTGAAGTGCTTGCTTGCTTTTCATTGAAGAAAATGGCAAAATGATTCCATTTCAGTTTTGTGCTCACTGGTGGTTGGTTTGTTGGGTGTTGGCAGGTGGGGTATCGGGCGCTGTGGATTCAAGTGGACTATGACCTTCCGAGTTACGACAAGCCATTTTCCATCACCACAGAGGCAATGGTTGCACCAAACAACTACCCCTTTGAGTATTGTGACACGGCAGAGTGCCATAACGTACTGGTGTAAGCCCATCGGAACGAAGTTTATGGCATATAGTGCTATGACCTCATCAGTTGAAGGACTGCCAAATATTGCCCAAGGCACTCTTCTTGAAGCACGTACACATAGCTCGGACAGAATGCGGTTGGTCCAACATAGCCCCCCATGGGATAGGAAAACAAGGCCTTGTTTCCCTAATCCATTAGGACCTTGTTTTCCTTGTCGTTGACACAAAAAAAAAAAAGAGAAAGAGTGTAGACTAGACGTGGAAACACAACTGCAGTGTAGATGGAGCTAGTACGTGGGCAACGCAGAGAGAGCTGCTACACGGATGTAGGATGACGCTGTCCACCCCAGGGACCGCCACCTGGATGGATGTCCAGATACAGTACATGTTGCTCAGCATCACAGACGCCGCACTTTCTTTGAGGTGTGTGTCTCAGCAAGCGTGGAATGCACTAAGGGTGCATTCCGCTGTGGACACATGTCCCAATCGATGTGTCCCAATCGAGTGTACCGCTCCGAACCGAACTAAACCAGAGACGCGAAAATTTCGAAACTAGGGTGCAATTTGGTGTAATACGATGCAGTGCGGTAGAAACGATTGGGACACATCGATTGGGACATGTGTCCACAGCGGAATGTACCCTAAGAGCATGTCCAAAGTGAAGCGTCGAATGGATGTCGCTGGATGTCGGTAAATGTCAACCCCTGAGTTCCAACCATCACGATTTGTCGACATCGGATGTCAACGGATGTCACGTTCACTTCGGACCCGCTCTAAAAAATCAACGCAGGTAGAGCTGCTACACGAGCGTAGCAACGATGACGCTGTCCACCCCATGGACGGCCACTTGGATGTCCTGATACAAATGCAGTTGCTCAGCGTCACAGACGCGCCACTACTGCTGCCAGGCCTCCCAAATCGCGCGACCACCGTGGGGAGGCGCACGACATTCGACCCGGAACCGAGCCCCGTTGGAATCTGCCGTGTGGTAGGGCGCATGAGACAGTGAGGAACGGGGGGTACGCCGAGACTCTTCCGTTTGGCAAACGGAAGGAGACAGATGCGAAAAAGAATATGTATTAATGGGATTCACTGCAGATGGGAAGGCGGCAAGCGTGCAAGCGCGCAGACCAAGTTCAAGAGGGCTACTCTTTCAAAGTTTAGATTTTCCCGTGGCAAGGGCTTACCTGTGTGTTGTAACATCCGTACCCAACCCCAGCTGGTCTCGATACGTCGAACCAGCTGAGGGAGAAATGTGGGGAAATCTGGTTGGTTGGGAAAGCGAGACTTACGGGCAATTCAGGATTGATTGGGAAACCAACCAATCGAAATTGTTGCTGAGTCAAACTTACGCAATTGGTTTGAGCTTGTTCAAACATAACCCACGTAAGTTCACCTCATCACTAATTCAACCAATCAGATCACAGCCCCAAGAGTGAGTCGACAATGTTTCCGCCGCTCACTTCAAACACAACCAATGAGAAACAAATACAGGTTTGTGATTGCTATGCAATTCTTATCCTTGCTATCTAAAATGTAATTGGTTGAAAATCTTGTTTGTTGCCACATGGGCAAGACCCAAGGGAGTGCACCCCTCCTTGCCATGGGGAAGGTGGCTGCACCCCAAGGGGGTCTAGGGAAGGGGTCTGAAGCCTCTTGGCTCATTCCTCATTTCCTACTCCCAACAAATCAATTGGGAAATAGGATTGTCTTCTCCTCAACTCACCTTCCACAGTTTGTTACTGCATCTCCTAGCAACTCTCAGACTTAGTCATTTTCCAGGAGCTGCTACTCTCTGGTTGTATTAGAACCTATTATTAAGTGGGTAAATGCCCTTTTTCTTCATAGATCCGTTACATTGGTATTCAGAGCTATTAGTAGATCCTCGCCTTGTGGGCATATAAGAGGATTTTGTGGATTTTTTTTTGGAGAAGTTGTGATTGTATTGTAATCTCTATTATAAAGTTTTTGAAGACTACAAGCTCAAGCTCAAGTTTTCAAGACTTTGAAGCTTCTCCAAGAGTTCTCAGCCCTCCCTCCCTCCCTGCTGGTGGAACCATTGGAGCTACTGTGAAGGACCTGTGTGTATTAACATTCTCTGTTGAAGACAATCACTTTGTGATTGTTCTTGCCTTATCCACTGCGGTGGTAAGGATATTTTGCAACAGAGGTGTTTTTCACATTGCTGTGGTTGTAAGATCTATTGAAGAAATTTCTCCTTTGGAGAAAATCTTGGTTATTCACTGCGGTGATAACAATTTGCAGTAGATCTGTAACTCATTTTTATAATACAGTGACTTGACTCTCAATGGCTTCTACCAACTCCAATGCTGGAGGTGTTGAAGGGAACAACTCCCAGGCTGAACTGGAAGCTTGTGTGCAGAAGATTGATCTGAACAACATGGATGAGGAAATGGCTGACAAGGAACCTGCTGAAAACTCCTCTGCTAAGGACCCTGCAGCTGCTGAAAATTCCAAGGAACAGGAAAGGGAGTCTCAGGGGGATGACATTGAGCTGGAGGGCGAAGAGGATATTCTGCATGCTGAAATTGCTAAGCTGCAGGATCACGCTGCTGAGCAGGATACGCGCATCCAGCAGCAGCAGTCACTCATCACCAACCTCAAGAGGGATCTCTCTGACCAGGACAACAAAATCAAGTACCTGGAAGTTGAGCTCAAGAACATGAAGCACGACGCCCGGGAGCACGTTCATCAGCTGGCGAGGCAGACCTCAAAGATCAACGAGCTGCGCGAGGCGTTCAGTGCCCTCCGAAGGGAGACCATGTATCGCCCTGCACCACGAGCGGAACCGCCTGCCAACTCTGCTAGCGGTCGCACCAACCCTTCTCGCTCTGGTGGTGCAGTGGGTGACCCTGGTCCTTCTACGCAGCGCGCTGCTGAGCCGAGCACGCAGGCTTTTGGCTCTCTGCCAATCACCCTGCCGCCATTCATCCATGGCAAGACGGACGTGGCTGCGTGGTTGTCGATGATGACCGACCTGTTCAAGGCGCACAAGGTCCAAGACGACGCTCGCGTCGTCGCTGCCACCACCGTGCTGGACCAGAATGCACAGCGAGTGGTGTATGGCAGCAAGATCCAGGCTGAGGCGGATAGGAAGCCGTTTGGATGGGAGGAATTCGCATCTGCACTCAAGCAAGCCTTCCAGGTCCAGCCGACCCAGCTGGAGGTGCGCAGCCGCCTTGAGAAGCTGCAGTGCGGGAACCGCACAGTGCAGCAGTACGCTGTGGAGTTCGAGGAGATCTGGGTGCTGCAGAAACCGGCAGAACGCATGAGCGAGGGTGAGAAGATCCATCTGTTCTTCAGGGGGCTGCCTGAGCACCTCAAGAACATGCATATGACGGATGGGGCTGGGGAGGCATGGAGGTCATATGATCACGTGAAGCGCGTGGTGGGGACCACTGATAAGCACTTCCGTGCTTATGCCAAAACCACTACCCAGCCGCAGCAGGCCTCAAGGCCGTCTTCTAGCACTGCGGGTCCGAGTGGAAGGCAGCAGGGAACGCCTTGGAAGGGCGGGAACCACAAGAGGCCCTTCCAGCAGGGACAGCAGGCTGACCACAAGGCCAAGAAGGTCAATGAGGGTGGACCAAGCAATGTCCAGAGCTGCTTCAAGTGCGGCAAGCCCGGACACAAGGGTTATGAGTGCCGCCACCGCAAGTCGGTGAAGTACTCTGGCAAGGCTAAGACGGACAACAAGCGCAATGACGGCAGCGGTCCCTCGGGCAGCCAGCGGGATTTTGCAAAGCCCAACTAGGGGGTGGGTACCTAGCGGGCATAGCAGATCGAGAGGATGAGGCAGTGGTCCTGCGGGATGAGGAGTTGTTGAAACTCGAGTGCCTTGTTGATTGCAAAATTGCATGTGTGTATGCATTTTCTTTTAATGAAAGTTCTTCGTTTGCCTCTCGATTTCACCCACTGGAAAGTATCGCAGTTGAATCATTACGAGATAAATTCTCAATTATCTTTTGTGATCACCACAATTTGCCTTGGATAATGGATGTGGTGGGTCGTTGCACCCAAGCGCACCCTCTAACTGCGGTTGGAATGGTAACGCGCACAGTTCGAGGTAAATTATTTCGAGCGCTTCAAGGATGGAGTGTGTTAGCGCAGTGGGATAAAGGACACCACGTGTGGTGGACACAAGCTCGTTCTTTTGGACGTAGCAAGCATGGTATTAAGGCATATTATTTGCCACCCACTGATATTACAGCATGTCCTATCCGACCCAAACATCAGCAAAACCTTTTGTTTTCGGGTTGCGTAAATGGGCGCAGTGCCTCGATCCTAGTTGATACGGGTGCAACTGCGTCATTGATCGATGAGAAGTGGATGGGATATTTGAAGGTTCCTGTTCAAGGACCATCTTGTTCTATCCGTCTGGGGGATGACAGGATCATCCCATGCAGAGGACATGCATTGGTCAACCTGGATATCCAAGGATATCAGGAGACCGTCAGCGTTTTTGTCTTACCCCTCCTAGCAGGCGTAGACATTGTCTTGGGAATGGATTGGCTACGGCCTAATGAGGTGATATTAAATTTCCAAGATAACACGCTTTCATTCACAAAGAATGGGACGACGTTTCAATGGCAAGTCCCAAGACGCCAAGCACTGGACGACAAACCTCAAACGTTAGCTCTTGATGTACGCTTTGCGTCGGCTCTCCAATTCAAAGAGCATGTCAAGGGAGCTGATACACTTTTTGTTGTACAGCTAGACTCCGAACCAACCACTTCGCAGATTATTGAGGATTTTCCGCCTCAAATGAAGGCGTTGGCGGAGGAATATTCTGAGGTTTTCGAGCCAATTCCGGATGGGTTACCTCCTGACCGTGCAGTTGGCCACACCATCCCGGTGGAACCAGGAAAGGCACCACCGTTTAGACCTTTGTATCGCCTCAGTCCAGCTGAGTACGAGGAGGCTAAGCAACAAATTGAGGAATACCTCAGGAAGGGATGGATAGAACCCAGCGCGTCCCCATATGGAGCACCTATCTTGTTCGTTCACAAGAAGGGGGGTGGACTGCGCATGTGCGTCGATTATCGAGCCCTGAATAAAATTACGATCAAAAATAGATATCCACTTCCGCGGATAGAAGATCTTTTTGATCGACTACAGGGTGCGCAATGGTTCAGTGCACTGGATTTGGCGCAAGGCTATCACCAACTACGTATAACAGAGGACGATGTTCCAAAGACGGCTTTCCGTTCGCCGTTCGGCCATTTTCAGTGGCGTGTGTTAAGTTTCGGCTTGACCAACGCTCCGGCCTCTTTCCAGAGGGCGATGAACGATGTGTTTCGTGATGCGATTGGCCAGTTCGTCTTGGTGTACCTCGATGATATCTTGGTATACTCGAAAACCGAAGACGAGCATACGGAACATTTGAAATGGGTCCTCGGAAAATTACGCGAGCACAAATACTACGCGCGTTTGTGGAAATGCCATTTTTACAAGCGTGAGCTAGAGTATTTGGGGCACGTGGTGGGGCATAATGGGTTGAAAGTGGACCCCAAGAAGGTAGCAGCTGTCCAGGAGTGGCCCGTCCCACGCGACGTTGGCCAAGTTCGATCATTCCTAGGCCTGGCGAATTATTTTCGTCGCTTCTTGGAAAATTATTCCACGATAGTCGCTCCCCTCACGGCATTAACCCGGAAAGGGTGCACATGGGAGTGGACCCCACAGTGCCAAAAGGCCTTCGAAGAGGTCAAGCATAAATTAACTAACGCACCAGTTTTGGTGTTGCCAGACCCACAGAAACCATACGAGGTGGTTACGGACGCCTCAACGGTGGGACTTGGTGCAGTACTCCTGCAAGAAGGACGCCCTGTGGCATTTGAGAGTAGAAAACTCTCCCCGGCAGAGCAACGCTACACGACAACCGAACAAGAGTTGTTGGCTGTCGTGCATGCGCTAAGAACATGGCGATGTTACTTGGAAGGGGTAGAGTTCGTGGTCACCACTGACCATTGTCCGAACACATACTTTTCTACCCAAGCTACCCTCACTCGCCGTCAGGCCCGTTGGGCTGAACTCCTTAGTGGGTTCAGTTTCGACATTCGTTATCGTGCAGGTTCCACGAACCTGGCTGACCCCCTCAGCAGACAGCCGATAGGGGCAGCAACTGGGCTTGACGATACCGAACATGCGGCTGTTTTTGCTGCCTGTTTTGGCATACTAGCTGCGGCGAAAGTGAGCGAGATCGCGTTTAGTGGTTTTCTGAAACGAATTCGCACAGGATATCATATCGATTCCTGGTTCCAGAACCCACAAAACACTAAGCATTTGATTTGGGAACACGATCTTTGGTGGCGAACAAAAGAGATTGCGGTACCTCATGTCGGCAATCTGCGGAACGATATCTTGGAAGAGGTGCACGCCACTAAATATGGGGGACACTTGGGCATGAATAAGACCCGGTGGGCCTTACGCGATGTATACTGGTGGCCAGGGGTCGGTAGTGATGTCCAACAGTTTGTGGCACGTTGTGACACGTGCGCACGTAACAAACCGGACACACAAAAGCCTGGTGGTTTGCTTCAACCACTTGAAATTCCGAGTGAACCTTGGGAAAGCGTTTCACTGGATTTCATCACCGACCTCCCAAGAACCCGTGATGGGTCAACGGCGATACTTGTCTTTGTAGATCGCCTTACAAAAATGGTGCACTTTGTACCCACGACAACGGACGTATCAGCCGAGGATACGGCTCGGTTGTTCGTGACACATGTGTTCCGCCTACACGGATTGCCACGTGTGTTAGTGTCTGATCGCGACCCGCGCTTCACGAGCCGATTCTGGCGTGAAGTAACTGAGACACTAGGAACGAAGCTTAAGATGTCGTCAGCGTTCCATCCCCAAACAGATGGGCAAACGGAACGGACTAATCGCACTCTCGAGCAGATGCTTCGTTCTTTCATAAGCCCAACACAGGACAACTGGGACGAGTTGTTACCCATGGTCGAGTTTGCGGTTAACAACTCAGTGCATGATAGCACACATGAAAAACCATTTATCCTGAACTGTGGTCGGCATCCCACAACACCTGCTACGCATGGGATCGGCGGGTTGAAATTACCTGCCGCAAAGGATTTTGTGGGCAAGCAGCGAGAGGCCCTAAAGTCGGCACGTCGTTGGTTGCAATTGGCCCAACAAAGGCAAAAATCCTATGCCGATATGAAACGCCGGGAAATCTCGTTCTCCGTTGGAGACAAAGTTTTGTTAAGCACGAAGAATATTCGAAGTTTTGTTAAGATCCCTGGTGCGAGAAAGTTGTTCCCTCGATGGATTGGGCCCTTTGAGGTGACTCAACGAGTTGGTGCGGTAGCTTACAAGCTCAAGCTACCTGATACCCTGCAGATTCACAATGTCTTCCATGTGTCTCTGTTAAGCAAGTACGTTGCAGACGGCAAGTACTTACCACCACCAACAATCGTCCTGGGGGAGGAACTGTACTATGAAGTCGAACGAGTGCTTTTGCATCGTGATCGACAACGCGGCCGCAAGACTGTACGAGAGTTCCTCATTAAGTGGAAAGGCTATGGGCCTGAACACAACTCATGGGAGCCGGAAGAACATTTGACTGATACTGCGGTTCAGTCTTACATGGAAGACCTGGCTCAGCGAGCACTCCCACAACCAGCGGATGGTGTTGACCCTGGTCGTAATGTGGTTCGTCGTGCTCGTAGCACTCGTCCTAAGAAGCACCCCACGGCAACGAGGACGTTGCCAGCTGGAGGGGGAGGAGTGTAACATCCGTACCCAACCCCAGCTGGTCTCGATACATCGAACCAGCTGAGGGAGAAATGTGGGGAAATCTGGTTGGTTGGGAAAGCGAGACTTACGGGCAATTCAGGATTGATTGGGAAACCAACCAATCGAAATTGTTGCTGAGTCAAACTTACGCAATTGGTTTGAGCTTGTTCAAACATAACCCACGTAAGTTCACCTCATCACTAATTCAACCAATCAGATCACAGCCCCAAGAGTGAGTCGACAATGTTTCCGCCGCTCACTTCAAACACAACCAATGAGAAACAAATACAGGTTTGTGATTGCTATGCAATTCTTATCCTTGCTATCTAAAATGTAATTGGTTGAAAATCTTGTTTGTTGCCACATGGGCAAGACCCAAGGGAGTGCACCCCTCCTTGCCATGAAGAAGGTGGCTGCACCCCAAGGGGGTCTAGGGAAGGGGTCTGAGGCCTCTTGGCTCATTCCTCATTTCCTACTCCCAACAAATCAATTGGGAAATAGGATTGTCTTCTCCTCAACTCACCTTCCACAGTTTGTTACTGCATCTCCTAGCACTCTCCAGA